CTTGCACAGCTTGGCCCAAGAAAGAGAGAGCACTCCTGTCTATGAGCCAAGAGCTTCATGTTTTGACAGTAATAAAAACTATTGTATGTGAAACTTGGTCTAAAAGAAAATCCTTCTTAATCTTCAACAGGAGCAAAATATGGGCCAACGAGCGAGCGATACGCGAGGCATTACATTCGAAGACGTAGTTGTCCCAAAGGACAATACACTTGGTGGAGAAGGGAACGGATTCAAGCTTGCTATGAAGGCGTTCGATAGAACGAGACCAATTGTAATTTTTTTTCCTTTTCTTTCGAACAATTGTATTTCCCTTCAACCACAATAATACCGTGCCTCAATTATCATGCCTAGGCCTACCCTTTATGAAATAGACCTCTATCAATTTAACAACTGACCAATCAAAGAAGGCTTGTCCCACAAACACACGTGCATTGACAATGACCTTAGCAATACCGAAGGGAGGAGGATTATCTAAACAGTCCATATTGCTCGTTAGGTCTTTAAAAAATGGAAATTTAATTAAAAATTAAGTAATAGAGCAAAAATACGCTTCGCAACTTTAACTTTAATTCAGCCTGCAAATGAGTTTATGTTCGGCCTCTACGAATTTCACGAAGGGTATAATTCCTGGGACACTGCCGCACTTTTATTGTTATGTATTTGTTCCACTAATAGAAAAAGGTTTTCAACAAAATATTTACAGGTTGCAGCTGCTGCTGTAGGTGTTGCCAAGAGAGCTCTACACGAAGCTACAAATTACTCTCTTCAGAGAAAAACCATGGGAGTGTACATCGCAGAGGTATGTTTACTTTATGGGTGTGGACCTCGTCATAAGTGATCAAGATTTAAGTTTGCCGTATTTAGCTCAAACTTTTGAAAATCCAATTATCTTGAATAAAGAGACCATCTCTAATTAAAAACCACATTTCTGCGCCCCTAACTGAAAGTAGGACAATATATCTTATCCTCGTACTTCATAATAATAATGTTTTAAATAAAAACAAAATCTGCTAAAAACCATGAAAAACCAAGGTCCCAAAAATGTTTTTTCTTTCTTAACAGCACCAAGCCGTTTCACAAATGTTAGCCGATATGGCGATCAACGTAGAAGCAGCAAATCTTCTTACCCTGCGAGCAGCCAAAGGTATGGATGACGGAGAGAAGACTTCATTTGACGCTTCTATTGCCAAAGCTTTTGCTGCGGACGTTGCTATGAAGTGCTCTACAGACGCCGTGCAAATATTTGGCGGGAATGGATACAACACCGAGTACCCAGTGGAAAAACTGATGAGAGATGCAAAGATTTACCAGGTAATACATTACCTTGAGTGAGGAATGTTTAATTTTATCATTTCTGTAATCATTCATCGAAACTGAATTAATACTAATTCACTAATGTTTTACGCCAATGAGGACAATGAGTAACCAGCCTACCGGTACTTTTTATGTGCTAAATTATCCTAAACCCATTTGAACAAGAAGGTCCGAAAGTACTAAATTATCACAGTCCTGCAGGTAATAAATTTTCTTCTTCAATAACTTGTATACATCCCCACTATTAGCTACACATTTTTTTTTTTTCATCATCAAACAAGCACCTTCTTGAGTAATGCAGGTGGAGACAAAAACACCTTGTTAAAAGTACTTTCTCATGTGCCACTCCTACATTATGTTTATGTTACAATGGGAAAAAATTAGAAGTCGGGACAGCTCATTTCCTGCCACCTGGAATCAAATTTTTCCCGGGGGCGGACGTGACCGCCGACCCCTGTTTTTTGGTGGGTCATTGATTCATAGAAAAAAAGAATGCGTATGCAACTACTCATTTTTTTTCTGTATAGGCCTACAGTATATACCAGTACACACATAGTAGGCCTATTTACTGTAACAAGAATGAGAAAAATTTTCCTGACCGTTTTCAAGAGGGGTAAACCTTGAATTCTGAAGGACTTAAAAGTCATTAAAAGACACTTAGGGAAAGCTCGTTTCCTACCATCTAGGAATTAAAAGTTTCCCGAGGAGAACCCGGACCCCCTATTTCTTTGGGGCTCATCGATTCATAAAAAGAATAGGCCTACGTATACAACTACTCATTTTTTCTGTATGTAGACCTATCCCGGTTCACACATAATACTGTAGGCCTATTTACTGTAATAAGAATTAGAAAAATTTACCGTACCTGACCGTTTTGAAGAGGACAACCTTGAATTTTGAAGGACTTGAAAGTCATTAAGACATTTCAGAAGTCGGAAAAGCTAATTTTCCGCCACCTATAGGAATCAAAGTTTTCCTGGGAGAGGACCCCCATTTCTGCCGTTGATATTGGCGCTATTAAAATCTTTGTTGATTATCTTTATTTGCTACAATGCGATTCATTCATTATGCATTTTTATTTCTTGCAGATTTATGAAGGGACAGCACAAATTCAAAGAATTATCATCGCCAGAGAGATGCTATCGAATGCTAAAATGAAGAACCATTAAGATAAATTGTCATGGTTAAATAATTATGAACTTCAAAATTTACAAATAATTGAATTTAATCAATATAAGAATTATAAGCGAGGTCCTATGCGAGAACATCGGGTATTTATAATCATAATAATGATATGTCGATTACATCCCATAGGCCTTTGCCATTATTAATTTGTTATACTAGATCTACCGGTAATTTTTAATATGAATCAGGCACAAATCAATTTCTTCGTAAGACTTAAGCCATTAAAAACCAAGATGAAAAAGTACCGGCATCATTTTATTATCCGAGAGTGTGTTGTCTGATTTACTACCGACGGGGGCCCGATGTCTCCGACGAGGGGGAAGGAGGATGTAGGCCTACCAGACGAAAATGTCAATGTCCACGCGAGAGCGTAAGAGTGGCGAATACAGATCTTTTCGGTCGCGCCTCGTTTAGGTCGCGCTTCATTTCGGTCGCGGTTTGTTTTCAACAAATATATGGAGCGCCAATGGAGTTGCGAAAACGCCAAATTTAATATAACGTCTAGGCATAATTATCATTGTGAGTTCGTCAATCGGTTTATCATACTTTTTTTTTATTTATGTTTTGTTGTCTTTCTACTAAGTAACAACATTTGCTACTTAAAAGCAAAACGGAAATTTAAAAAAAATACTTAGGCCTATGATAAACCGATTGACGAACTAATTATAATTACAGTATATAGGGCCTAGGCATATAAGTTAAATTTTGCGTTTTCGCAACTCCTTCGGTGCTCCATATATTTTTTCGAAATAAACCGCGACCGAAACGAGGCGCGACCGAAACGAAGCGCGACCGAAATGATCGGCTACCAGAGTGGCGAGGGGTTGCTTAGAATCCCGGAAGGTGCAAAAACCCCAGAAGCTATCACAATTAAGAATTCAAGAAAGGCCTACTTAATCAATTTTAGTAAACAGTTTGTAAAGAAATACGTAAGTAAGTTTATTCCCCCAGCCCACCCCCCACCCCCATGAAATGTTTTTACTCTCTCCGACGGTGGCTCCGACCCGTTCCCACCCCTATTGGTGCCGACCCTGACACAGCGACGAAGACTGTTTGTGAGCTGGTTTATCAACACGCGAGACCAGAATTGAGTCGGGTTTTTTTTTTCTTCTTTTGTTTTTGTAGAACTGCAAGGATAGTATTAAAATTATACTGTCTGTGAAGCGCTAATGTGATTAAATGTTTATATTGATTAATCTGCATACTCAAGCAAATAATGTTTTTTAGATTCAAAAATTGTTTTTACCAAATGCATAGGCATCAATCAAGAATACAATGTAGGCGTGCCTAGCTAACTGTTTGAATATTCATAACTACCTTGTTTATATGCGAAGAATATAATTTAGCCTTTCGATTGAGACCGACAAAAAATATTAAATCGTCATATTAAATCGTCAGCATGGCTTTCCGAGCTGCATTGTCTACAAAGGTAAGGAAAATGTTTATAATTTGCTTACTTTCTGTTATATGGGTATTTTATTTGCTAGGAAATATATTAAGAAAATAATCTATCCATGCAATTTATATGGCATTTGTTGCACATGTTGTCAACCCGAGTGCTAGCAGGGCCTAGGCCGTAGCCTAGGCGCGGCTAAGGAAGGGAAGCGCAATGAAGCCGAGCCCTAGCCTAGGCAAGACCGGTCATGGTCGGGTATGCAAGGCCGACACATTTTCATGGTTTTGCAGTAGGTAGGCCTAATCCTGCCTAGGAACAAGTTGTATTTTAGAAACTAGTTGTAATCAGCCACAAATTTACCTTAATAGGCTTGATCATAAATTAAATAAATACAATCCTATTGAAATACATAGGCCCTACCATTTGTTAACTAAACTTAAACAGGTAAGCAAAAATGCATGTGTCTGTTTACTTGTTTCCCAAGAGAGTCTAATATAGTCTGATCCTCCTGGGTATAGAGGCTAAGCAAAACGATGCTTATAGGCCCTTGAAAAAAAACAGTATATTTAAAATTTAACATGTCATATGGCGCAAATTTGAGCGGATGATCAGCCAAACGTACTTTGATTGCAGATTTAAATAAATTAATTGAACTAGAGTTAACGTCTTCATTCGATAAAGAATTCCACAGCCGGACTGACCTATATGAAAAAGCATGACTTCTAATAAGTGTCCTACAGTGCTGATGTTTAATCTTAAAGGAGTGACCTCTAGTTCTAGCACCTTTATCAAACTCAAAAAATAAATCACCCGAAACCCTATCAATTCCATGGACAATTTTAAAAAGCTGTAAAATATCCGATATCTGTCTACGGAACGCTAGAGTTGGAAGATTCAGAACTTTAAGTCTAACTTCATACGGAAAATCCCTTACCTCCAAAAACATCTTAGTTGCTCGTTGTTGAACTTTCTCTAAGGAATCTGTTTATTATTGAAGATCCATCAGTAACTAGGTCTATCTGGTTTATTTTTATTTATTTATTCTGCCTTTAACATGATAACACTTTCAGTGATGCACTGATCTCAATAGCGAATCACATAAACAAGAAAAGAAATATTAGGAAATTATTTAGGCTGATAGAAAAATATACAACTTACAGAAGGCTCTAGGATAGGATAAATTTTTGTTTAGTATTTAAGGTATTAATGTGGCAAGTAAATAGTCAAAGCCCCCACTGTAAATTATTTTATTTGCGCAGAGATTTTGAAAACCACAACAGATTTGTGCGGAAAATCGCTCAGAAAATAGAGTGTGCAGAATCGTACATTGGTTTCACTGAGATATAAGGCCTACAGTAATTTTCTGAGAAAAATTGACTGGAATTTGACCCTTTATTTTCAAAAATGTGCATATGGAGTTCTAGGTCAATATTTTGAGCCTATTTTAATCTGGCTAGGCCTAGGCTCTGTCCAGGTATTTCAGTAGTTGCTGGTACATTGTGTGCATGTTTGTAAAAACAAGAGACTTAGTATAAATTGCCTGGTATCACTGCATGACTTTGAAGAAGACATGGTAGTATTGAAAGCTTGAGCTACTCCTCTGTTTATTAATCTTCTTTTCATTTTGTTACATAACACAAAACAGAAACAGCAAGCAGTTGAAACACTGAGGGGAAAATAGTTACTTATTTCTAAACGTCTAATTAAAAAAATAAATTGTACAGTATAAATATTATACTGTACCCAGTGCAGTGCACTAATTTTTGTGTTTGAATCTGCAGTTGGCATTCAATTTATGATATCGTAATGCAAGATGCCAACGTTATTTTTTTACACTCTTTCTTGAAGCGCAGAGACAAATGAGTTGAAGAAATACTACAACTAAAACCAGGGAGTGTGATATAAGCAACATTTGTAAAATCTATTAATATTATAACCCAGTCATATTCATCTTCATTCATGAAAATAAACAAAGACTGAAACGTCAAACATATTTATGAATCAAGCTGTCCAACATTTTCATTTTTGTCATTGATTTTAATAACAATATATTTCAACTCACTGTGTAATGTAAATGATTGTCTTTTTATTTTATTTTATTTATTCATAAAACTTCAAACAAGGAGAAGATAAAATGTAGCCTACCATACATACATTAAAAATATGTTTACTTAACTAATTGAATTAAATAATTTAAAAAATTTATAAAAGGAGTAGTGGTCTGCATAAATGACCAACACATAATAATGGAATACCAATAAAGATTCAAATTATTAAATGTAGAGCCCTAGTTGGAATCCCTATTGAAAAGTATTTCATCACAACATAATTACAATGTTTTTGGTATTGATACACTGAGTTGGAATAGTATAACAAATTTAATCATTACTACTGTATGATTGATAGAAATACATTACTGTCAGTTTTGGTCGATTGTAAACACAGAAATTGTATAACAATACCACACATCCTGTCTAGCAGGATGGAACACTTTTCCAAAAACAGGGTACGATTATTAAATACTCAGTCTACATCTGACTGTAGCATAATTAGCATACACCCACCCATCAAATCTTCCAGCATTGTTTCCTATGTTACTCCATGTCAACCTATTTATATTATATGTTATTACTCTGCCCTTTAGCATGGTGACACTCACAAACTGTAGTGCAATAACAATATAAACATGTAAAATAACTAACTTGTAAAACACCTATCAGTTAAATTAACAATTTTTGCCCAAAAAAAACCAAAAAACTTTGTAGCTCTTAACTTAAAAAATATTATCTCAATGGGAAAACAATACAAATACAAGCTATAAAGGTCCATAATTATTATACATGTCCATAGGCAAGCATACAAGGCATTTCAATACAGTGATACAGTAGGATCATCATGTGTTTTGATGTTACATAACAGGGTCAAAATCATCACAAAGTGCAGGGTTATCTTGCATTCTTCCTTTCTTATTATTATCAAAAGTGTAGAAGTACCAGTAGCATTAAGCTTTGTTCTTATCTCAATATGGAGTGTTTATTTATCATATTTATTGCCTTACAATACATTATGATACCATTCAATTGTATTTGCTGTCTGTATCTTGATCATGTTTTGTCTAGATAAGAACCATGTCAGTATTAGATAATCCCTAGTGAAATAATACCAGAATTATTAATAGCATGCCGCTATAAATAACAACTCCGGAGTAAAGTTATTATAGTTCTATGGTAATAATAAACTAATAATAGTAATATGAGCAACCCTAGTTTTATTCATATATCTATTTCTTCAACCACAAAATACAATAATTAGAATAATAAAGGCCAAGGATAGTTTTAGGTAGAGAGCATCCAATCGTCTTTGTCATTTAAGTTAATCTAACTAGATTGAAAAATACATACTTACGATAATTCACCTATATTAACAAGTGCGTAGGACAAATTTGAAGAGGTACCTTAAAATATTACTAGCTGTCTGACTGACAATTTTTCAAAAACAAGTTTTTTAGTCAATATTAAAGAACTAAAGTTTATCATTGTAGCAATATGGTACTATTAGTCAAGACTTAATCACTGTTTTAAGTGGCACAACCCCACATGAACCACTTAGTATCATTATGAGGAGTTTGTGAGTGGAGTTATTTGTGGTCGTGCGAAAAAATCCTGTACCATGACAGGAATTGAACCCAGGACCCTGGGATGCAAGCATCTTAACTACCATGCTTTGGAAATGTAACATGTTGCTATTAAATATGCTCAAATCCCACTAATTGCCAAGTAATTGGTAACACAAAAAGGAAGAGACCAGTAGATTGAATAAAAGTTTATATGAATATTACAATTAAGTAGGCTAATAAAATGTTTAAATTTATGGAAATAAAATGTTTAAATTTATGGCAATAAATTACAATACATTAATATGCAAAATATAAGCAGTCCCCTAATTACAATAGTTATCAAATTATATAATTACCATAGTATACCATATAGCACTCAATTACTTCCATACAAATTGCCATCAAGCAACTTTCCAATTTCCTGTTAAATTTTTTGGCTAAAAATTTATTGATTTGATTCCTAACCATAAACTTCTCTTAGGCTCTAGGCCAGACTTTCTTGAAGTCTGCTGTAGTCCGCAGCAAGTCCACAGCAGTTGATCCTGTAGCAAGTGCCCTTGGAAATGGTGTCTCATTTGGTAAGTACAAGCCTACAGATTTTATGTTCACATCATCAAAATTCTAACAAATTTGCCATGAACTCAACTATTATATTCTAAAAATTATAAAGTAATTAATTAGTTATCAAATCAAATGTATATTTCATGTAGAATTACTCTTGAATACATGAATATTCATATTTTTTATTCTTCTAAAATTAAAATAATCATTATTACATGACAAAATTGACTTTTATCAAATTAATTTTGAGCGCACACTCATACATCTTTGCTTGTTGAACATATCAACATTCCCGACCCTCCATACCGTCTACTAGCTTTTAATTCAGAACTGGATTGTTTATTGTTTGAACCAGTACATTGTTCCTCCACTGCAAGGATTTTTGTTGCTATTGTCTGAAAACAATACAACTACCTCCATGTTAAACAAGTGGTGGCCTTTATGTAGTGTATTAATAAACATGGCACAAACTAGTACTTTAGTACAGACTGGTACCACAAAAATTAGAGAAAAATTGACAGGAAAAATGAATAATAAATAACGTAATAATATATAGTGATAATAACAAATAACACAACACTGTTTCATTTTTTGAACAATGCTTGTATCAGTAGTACACATTTTATTTGTATTTTATTTCATCAAAGTTCAACAGTGACCAAAGTCACCCTTTACAGGATTGAATAATAAAATCTAAATATAAATAGGTGAATAAACCGTTACGATAAGTAAGAATAACTAAACATTACTAACATTGGCCAAAACTTTTTGACGAAAACACATAAGAGAATCACAGAAAATGTCAATAGAAAAATCAGTTTTACATAAAGAATTGTATAACTTAAGCAAACGATTAATAAACTCATGATTAGTAACTTTGATAATGGTGGTAACAAAATGCTGTGTATGGAGATAATCACTATGAAATGGGGTTAGGAGAAATTTGTCTCAAGTGTCTGCTTCCTTAACCTTTTTTCAAAGCATGGGGATGCTTATGGAAAGGGGTAAAGCAGAAAGAACCGCATTGACTTGCAAAACATTAACAAAATTAATAAACAGTGTTACTGGTACTGTACATATTTCAATTTTTCATTAAATGATTTGTACAAGTTCAGGTTTTAAATTTATGAGTTATTGTGATCATTCATTGTGATCCTGCAGATATCTCAGATGAACAGAAGGAATACCAGCAAGTGGCAAGAAAGTTTGCCAGGGAAGAGATCATTCCCAAGGCACCGGAATATGACAAGTCTGGTGAAGTTGGTACACATTTAAATTTTGTTTAATGTAAATTATCATTCAAATCCACAATTTACAGGAAGGAATACATATATCTGTGCAATATGAAAGTTTATAGTGTAGAATTGTTAAAAGTCGTGATAGAAGATCTAAAATAAGAGGGGGGTTAAATCTTGTTATGGGGCATATGGAATGATATTTTCAGTACTGTTGTGAGGCAATTGAAATGGTGGTGTTAATGAGTTACATGTGGCTTAAATGGGAGTGAAATTTGCCCAGAATATTAAGTGCTGCAGTTATTCCATACATAAGTGTAAGCCAAATTATAGCGATGATATGGAATTGATTACCTCAAGCACGGTGCTCATGGGCAAATTGGATGCATTTACCCATTAATATATACAAGAGACAGAAATAATATTGTAGGTAACTTTATATGCCAGTAGAACATGCCTACGATGCATTGTTAAACTACTGTATTAGCAGAGTTTTGTACTTTCACAGCACATTAATACAGTACTGTAGTACAGTGAGGTACAGATATATAGTTTGGAATGATTGAATAGGCTGGTAGTCAGGTACAATGTGGTTTTGTATTCACATATGTATGAAACCAAATGTAAATCTAAGGTTCCATTTCTGACTTTCAATTGTGCTTCACAGGGCTAAGAGCTGGTTTTTTACTTTTAAGTATGGGTAGCTGCAAACAGTGGATTTAACAGAATAACAGTATTTTATTTATAACAAATGGTAAACATAGGAAGTAACATACCAAATTAATACTGATATGTTTACTTAATTTTTAGTACCCAATGGATATCATCAAGAAGGCTTGGGAGGTCGGGCTAATGAATACACACATACCAGAGGATTGTGGTAAGCCTGAAATTTTATCTCTCTTCTCCAAGTTTCATTCCGTCTTAATTTTTTTTTACCATTTTGTGTCATTAACAGTGAAAAATATATATAATTCTTATCAGGAGAAGATAATCTGATATGACATTTGATTGGATGCATTTTGGGACACAGTGCTTTATTGGATGAAATATTACACTCAACAGCAAACACATAACTGAATGCCAAAAATTTAAATACACTGTTGGGGAATCTTCTCTAAGTAATCTTTTTTATGGAAGTCACCCACCACAAAGTCTGCACTTAGTATGTGAAAGAAATTTGAACTATTAAAACTTGTTATAATGATATTTTATTTAATAACCCTGTTTTAGGCACAGAGGCCAAGTGTATGTCAAACAATTAACATTTTTAAGTGACAATCCCATCCCAAGTCCAACATACACACAAGATGCTCTACATCAACTAAGCCTCATTATGATGCTTACAGGGTGGCATTGTTTTTTTGGTCGTGAGACAAATCCTTTAACCATGAGAGGAATTGAACCCAGGACACCTTGAAAGCAAGCATCTTAACCACCAAGCTATTCAACCCCCCTCAATCATAAACCCCGTAATGTAATTGTATATACCTACATTTAATTTTGTGTGTACATGTTAATGTTATTGATTTGTGTGGCATAGTAACCCTTTCCAAACTTATTTTTCTACAGGTGGAGCAGGCCTCGGAATATTAGATACATGCATCGTAACAGAGGAGCTAGCCTATGCGTGCACAGGAGTACAGACAGCTATTGAGGGAAACTCTCTTGGGGTAAGTAGCTAGAATTTATCAAAGGGTAAAACATGAATTGATTTACTGGTTTGGTATATGGTAAAATTAATGCAGCTTCTATAGCGTAAGATGCTAGTAAACAAAATATTTCTAAATTAATTATTTTATTGGTGGAATTGAAAGTTATTCTTCATTATCTTTATTTAATGTATATCTTTTCCTGTGCAGCAAATGCCAGTCATAATTGCTGGAAATGCAGAACAAAAGAAGAAGTATCTAGGACGTATGACGGAAGAACCTCTTATGTGTGTAAGTTAAAATATTTTATTATTGATTATACTGTATATTTAATCTTTTTTTGTCTTAATTTATTTAATGTCTATTAATTTATACTGTCCCAAAGAAAAAAACAGATAGCTCCAAAATATGACACTGACAAACACTGACAAAGTATAATTAATAACTTTATATTTTAGGCCTATGGCGTTACTGAACCAGGTGCTGGCTCTGATGTTGCTGGTCTCAAGACCCGAGCAGTGAAGAAGGGAGACGAATACATAATAAACGGAAACAAGATGTGGATTACAAATGGTGGGCACGCCAACTGGTACTTTGTACTAGCCAGGACAGACCCTGACCCAAAGACGTCAGCTGGCAAAGCGTTCACAGGGTTTATTGTGGACAGGGATACACCTGGCTTGACACCTGGGCGAAAGGTAAAGCTATGCAGGTGTTCTATGAATGTCATTGATGTACCCACCTTTCATGAGCATCAAATAAGTACCTGATAAAAATGCCTGGACCCAGAAAGCATTTTATATAATGTTTTTTTATATAACTAATAAGCTGTAAATTGTTTTTTAATGGTCTTTTATCAGGAACATCAGTTGGTATACAGCTGTCTATGAAATTAAAAAACATTAAAATAATAAATAGCAAGATACAAATACTGTACTTAAACAATATATACCATTATCAATTCATACCATTGTAATCTCTCACACCATCTTACTATCATTAACAGCTGATTAGTGAAATATTTTCCCTTTTGTACTGAATTTTCAGGAGTGGAACATGGGTCAACGTGCATCGGACACACGTGGTATAACCTTTGAGGATGTTGTGGTTCCAAAGGAGAACGTCTTGGGAGCAGAAGGCATGGGATTCAAGGTTGCAATGGGTGCCTTTGACAAGACAAGACCACCAGTAAGAAGTTATTTTACTAAAGTTCCAAAAATAAATTAACAGTTTAAAATGTGCCATATATGTTTGCTTATGTCACCTAAATAGAGGTATGGGATATGCAGTCATAGAGCACTGATGTAAATACTACAGACAAATTAACTTACTAACACTATCCCAACCAGACAATAAGTATTCACTTCAATTTTAACCATGGTCTTAAATGCCACCTGTGTTTCTTAAAATCATGGGCCCTTAAATTGGCAGGATTGAATTTTGGCAGGTTGTATATCTTTAATACATGAGGTAATGGCCTAGCTGTAAGGGTCATGCTCTATAAAGAGTGTTAAGATATACAATGAATTCAAACTTCACATTATGTGTATCATACAATTAAAGAAATATGTTTTCCTATTAAGTACAGTATTGGCCACGTAAGTCCAGGCCCAAAGGTCAGGGTCTAGCTTATGTGTCATGTAGAAACAGGAAGAATAGGATTTAGGTTGAAGGTCCTACATAACATAGTGCAGTGTGTTTTCTATAGGTTGCAGCTGGAGCTGTAGGCCTAGCTCAGCGAGCCCTGGAGGAGGCTACTAAGTACTCAATGGAGAGGAAAACAATGGGCAGGTACATCTGTGAGGTGAGATTTTAAGTGCATTTATTTTATTTAAATGCATTTATTTATTTTTTCTCTAAATTTTTTTATTCATGACACCAAGAAATTGGAAAAAATTTAATATACTTTATACTTCACACTTTTTGTGCTGAATTAATAAAATTAAAACTAAATTAGAGAAAACATTACTAGACCAAAAGAGTATTATATATTGAGATTCTAAGATATGCAACATTCAAAGCATGAATAGTATCAATATACGATATTATATATTTTATTCGTCCGTTAAAAAAAATTCATTAGTACATGTGTTGTTCTTTCTAAAAGAAAAATATAAACCCAACCAAACTATGCAACATGGGGTAGTGACGTCACTCTACTAAGGTCCTAGTAACTCACTGCCCTACTGGGACTATGCATCATAGTTTAGGGACATTATGAGCATTGTGATTTAATTTGTGTTATAAATATGTTTTAATTCGTGTTATAAATATGTTTTAATTCTAGTTAAATATTTGGCTTGTTTTCAATTTATTATTTTTTTTAAAATAACTATTACATCCTTCTGTAGCATCAAGCTGTTGCATTCATGCTGGCTGACATGGCAATCGGCATTGAAGCATCCCGTCTCCTCACATACCGGTCGTCATGGGAGATTGACCAAGGAAAGAGGAACACTTACTTTGCATCAATAGCTAAGGCGTTTGCGGCTGACGTGGCAAACAAAGCAGCCACAGATGCAGTGCAGATCTTTGGTGGTAATGGGTTCAATAGTGAATATCCAGTAGAGAAACTAATGAGGGATGCCAAGATCTTCCCACATCTAGATGTGTATAAGAGACAGATATATATATATATTCAAATTTAAGCCTGAGAGTGCCATAGTCATAAATTTCTTACCTGTCTCCCTACCATTGTTGGGCTGAGGTAGTATAGACATCCCCTGCTTGGGCTCCCTCTATTTCAAATTCCTGGATCTCCCACTGTGTTTGTATTAATTAAATCATTTTGGGGTTTTTTTCACAGATCTATGAGGGTACAGCGCAAATTCAGAGGCATATCATATCAAGGGAACTTCTCACCAGAGCAAAGGAGATGATGTAATAAGCTATCGCAAACCTATTGCACTCTTCTTGCCCACATGTGTTTCACACCCTCTATTTTGAATATCATTGTAATAATTTTTTTAAATAAAACAAATGCTAATGCAGTAGATACCGTCTGTTGTTACTGGTTAACTTAAAGCTTTTCGTATTATACAATGTACATAGATCCAGGTTAATTAACAATATTTAATTATTTACATGGAATATTCATGCCATATTGTTCTTCCTAGTATATGCATTGTGAAGTTTATCATTTATTTCCTTTATGAAATATTAAAGAATTTATTTTTTGGAGGATGACAGCTCTGTGTTTGAATTTTTTTTAATGAATCTTTACTTAGATTTTTTTTTTTAAATGTTATTGTGTGAGCTGTTCTAGTGCCTGTTTCCGCTGAGCAAAAAAATGTGTTTTGAAACGATTATTAAAAAACATTTATTTTTTCCCTAGCAGAAACAGGCCAAAAAACAAAAACATGGTCAGGAATGTGTTCTAAAAATGCGTGATTTAACACACGTTCGTTATAGGTTTGGCATTCAAAAAACATATTTTGGGGCACACTTTTTAGCTGCAGTGTAATACCGTGTTAGTCATGACCTTTCGGTGACCTAAATTTACCTCTTCGTTGATTCAATCAAGTTTTTATTAGTTGCACTTTTCACTAGAAATGAGTTCCGAAGGAATTTAACTGATTTTAAAAAACACGTTTTTGGCGTTATTCAGCAGAAATATGCCCTTAGTGTATGATAATAAATTTTATGTAAATTAAAAGTAACACCAATTTACATACAGAGTTGTAGTGTTTAACAAATTTTACAAAGAATTTTTCCCTAGCAAAGATATTTTAGTCATGAGAATACATATGCTTTTAAAAATACTAATGGTATCTCTTTCCATTCCGGTTAAAAAAGAAAAGACCCCAAGGAGGCCTGTAAATACCAAGATAATTATTTAGTAAGCTTAAGAGCAGGTTTATGGAGGGGGGGAAAGTGAGTGCCCCTCGGCTTTTCCCCCTGTCGTCTTTTATTTTAACAGAAAAAAATACATATAGTAAATGTCACAATACAGTACAGGGATCGAGATGCATATTTATTATCTGTATATTTATATTACATCGAGGCCTAATAGGTGCCACTTGTTTCAACGATTCTGGATCCACTCCTGCAGTTTATGTTTTACTTTGGTTTGGCATGTTTGTACCAATATTGTACTGACTTGTAGCAAGGAAAGCCCTGTTAATATTACCGTACATTTTCTGTTGTGTGAATTGGGAATTAGAGACTAGTTAAATGCTTATTAACACAAGTTTATGAATAAGGATAATTATTATTGTACATTATTGTACAATTAAATCAAATTTAGTATCATTCTGGAAGTCATTTTCTTTAGCACATTATCAAATGCTTAAATTATTTTAATTAAATACTTCTGAAGCCTTGTTTAACACAACATATTGTTATTGAGGTAGTGAATTACAGATTCATATTTACAAAATTTGATTTAACAAAAATGATGACAACATTTAATTGTAAAACTAAAATTTATGATATAGACCCACTAAAATAATTTATCTCTAACAAATGAAATTAGGTAAATGCAATGTAAAAATACACCACTGATAATTAAGTCGTCAAAAAATGTGTTAATTACTACAATTCAAATCAGCAGCCAATAATCCCAGAATCCACTATAAATTCCTTGTTAAGTCTTGAATTTCCTGAATACAAGAAAAATTTAAAATAAGAAATCATATGCAAAAAAGTTATGTAGAGTACAGTACACAATGGGTAAAGGATAGGTCAGGTCACTCCCATAGTCTGAAGACCGTCGGGGCACTTTGCTGATAACACCCTCCTCCTCCACTTCAGTCGATCCTCTGCTTCCCTCAAACAAAACGTTACATACGCGTCATACACCATGGTACACTTTGTAGTAATTATCATGACGGTGATGGTGGTGGTGATGATGAGAAATGAAAGATCATGTAGGCCTAATGCACAGTACACAATGCGTACATTGTTTAATAATGTACATGATGATATGATGACGGCGGTGGTGACGGTGACGATAATAAAGATGATGATTATGATCAGATGGTGTTGACGATAATGAATATGATGGTTATGATAATGATGATGATTATGAGACCATGGTGGTGGTGATGATGATGCTGCTGATGATATTAAAATTATTTAAAATTGTAAGAATATAGCCTACAATAGTTAGGAAGTGAGGCTCATAATTGTAACTAAACTTGATACACACTACAAACTGAATGAAAGAATTAATAATAATGTACTGTAATATTAATATTTTTAAATTGTATTACACTATTTACATAATTCACACTGATTAAGATGCCTATTACTATAATAGTGGTAGACATTACAAACGATCGTGAATGAATAAAAAAATGCATTGGAGTTGAACATTACACATTAGATAATGAGTTGATTCAGGAAACGTATGTGAACATACAAATACATCCATCTTGAACAGTAAGGTATTGTCTACAGCTTTATCCATTTAAGCCTACCGTATTTTATATGCATTTTTTCAATCTGTACATGTTCGCCCTTGCTATAACAATCAATACTTCCTTTGTATTCTTGATAATAATATCGTTTAAATATATTAAATATTCTATTATTAGCAGCAGCAGTTTGTGTTCAACAGCTTGTGGTAGGCGTCCGAATTTGTTTTTCTAGATTTCTTGGTAAAACCTGGCTACACTGGTTAAAGTTCACTACCGTATTGCAGACCTTTATTGATTGGCATACTGATTCTGAAGCTGCTATATTCACTGTACATTACTACTTTTACCAGTGACTGATCCAGGACTTTGAAATAGGGTGGTGGTGTTAGGGTGTCCAGGGAGGGACTGTCTGACCATAGATGGGGGTGAGGTAAAGAAATATATGGTTATGGCACCTCTAGATAGTCGGAAATGGCACTCTCAGACTTAAAGTCGGAATATGATTTATTTCTTTTTATCTCCATTTTCTAATTTTCAGGGGCGGATCCAAAGATGTCCAAAGTGGGGTTAGGTGGGGGCGGAAGGGGGCCGAACGAGATAACAATACCCTGGGTCGTCCGGGGACATGTCCCCGCAAAATGTTTGCGTTCTAACTTCTGAGGCCTTTTGGACGATCATTTTTTCCTTTTTCTTAATTTTTTTTATACTTTTCAAAATCCGCCCCTGATTTTGAAATATTAAGGGGGAACCGGCCGGCTCGCCCACCACCCCCTTGAATCTGTCACTGATTAATACTACTACTAACACCATTATGATAGTGATGGCGATGATGATAATAAAATAGAAATAATGTAATAATAATATTTTTGCAATATTATTTCTAATTTTGATTTTAGCGCACAATACGAAATTATCATATTCGCTTCAGGTGACAACCTGTATTTCGGGACTATAGTTTTGTTATCAACTTGTGGCTCATTTATGATTGACTATGAGCAATTTACATAGCTATAGTAAAGAGGTAAGCGTTGATCATCGAATACCAAATGAAGTGGAATAATGTCGGTAAACAATTGGTCAATTCTTGATCAAACCAAGAATGAAAATACTACCAGTGGCTCTCATATGCTAAAATAAATAGGCCTATACAAATAAAAATCAATAGTACAGCCAGTAGGCCTATATGAACACGGGGCCTCATTAACTTAAAAATATTTTCAAAATATTTCAAAATAATATCACAAATTTGTCATCTAAAATTGGAAATGTTTAACCCGTACATTTAGGTTCCAATTTAGTGGTTCATGGAGCATTGATGAGAGTGATCCTACAGGTAGTCGTTTCGAAAATAGAGACCATCGGTAAAAGTGATCTCCAATATTAGCACAATTAGCAGGTACTCAAACCTAATAACACTTAAACGAAGACCACAATTACAAAAAGTTGAATACTTAGATGAATTAAATATACGGTTTATGTCATTTGATTCCTGGTTTTAAATGGCGGAATCACTTTAAATAATTATGCATAGCCTATTTCAGGACACCATGCATAAAAACACTAATGAGTGCTGACACAGACCATAGAGATATAAAATAATCATGACTCCATGACTAGATTAACTTATATAAACTGATAATTTAAGTTAATTATAAGAAACAATAAGTTTACATAAATTATAAACCAGTTCAAAATAATGAAAAACATTGTCCTCTCACTGACAAACTATTTTATTGTATTAATGTATTGCTGAAAGATATAGCTTTATTAAAATATTTAAAAATAAACAATAATGTATTAACAAGCCTGTCTGATCTGATCAAGTTTTGATAATTGAATGATTGCGACCTAAAGCCCAGAACGTATCCACTTCAAGTATCCGTGGCACACCTCAAGTTCACCAAATGAGTTATATTCATTACATTATTTTAGGCCTACTCTTAGCATCATAGGCCAGAATTTAGTGCAAGTTATATTAAGTTATATAAGTCACTCCTTTTCCTGATGTGCAATCTGTTAAATATCTGTGATGTACAACCATTAATCTACGTTCTTATTTTGTCGATAATTATTATTCTGAATTATTATACTTAACAGATTGCACATCAGGAAAAGGAGTGACTTAATTACGTCCGCTACAATACGAACTAAAACGATTTCAGGGGCGGATCCAAAGACTGTCTCTTATACACATCTAGATGTGTATAAGAGACAGATGCGTACATTGTTTAATAATGTACATGATGATATGATGACGGCGGTGGTGACGGTGACGATAATAAAGATGATGATTATGATCAGATGGTGTTGACGATAATGAATATGATGGTTATGATAATGATGATGATTATGAGACCATGGTGGTGGTGATGATGATGCTGCTGATGATATTAAAATTATTTAAAATTGTAAGAATATAGCCTACAATAGTTAGGAAGTGAGGCTCATAATTTTAACTAAACTTGATACACACTACAAACTGAATGAAAGAATTAATAATAATAATGTACTGTAATATTAATATTTTTAAATTGTATTACACTATTTACATAATTCACACTGATTAAGATGCCTATTACTATAATACTGGTAGACATTACAAACGATCGTGAATGAATAAAAAAAAATGCATTGGACTTGAACATTACACATTAGATAATGAGTTGATTCAGGAAACGTATGTGAACATACAAATACATCCATCTTGAACAGTAAGGTATTGTCTACAGTTTTATCCATTTAAGCCTACCGTATTTTATATGCATTTTTTCAATCTGTACATGTTCGCCCTTGCTATAACAATCAATACTTCCTTTGTATTCTTGATAATAATATCGTTTAAATATATTAAATATTCTATTATTAGCAGCAGCAGTTTGTGTTCAACAGCTTGTGGTAGGCGTCCGAATTTGTTTTTCTAGATTTCTTGGTAAAACCTGGCTACACTGGTTAAAGTTCACTACCGTATTGCAGACCTTTATTGATTGGCATACTGATTCTGAAGCTGCTATATTCACTGTACATTACTACTTTTACCAGTGACTGATCCAGGACTTTGAAATAGGGTGGTGGTGTTAGGGTGTCCAGGGAGGGACTGTCTGACCATAGATGGGGGTGAGGTAAAGAAATATATGGTTATGGCACCTCTAGATAGTCGGAAATGGCACTCTCAGACTTAAAGTCGGAATATGATTTATTTCTTTTTATCTCCATTTTCTAATTTTCAGGGGCGGATCCAAAGATGTCCAAAGTGGGGTTAGGTGGGGGCGGAAGGGGGCCGAACGAGATAACAATACCCTGGGTCGTCCGGGGACATGTCCCCGCAAAATGTTTGCGTTCTAACTTCTGAGGCCTTTTGGACGATCATTTTTTCCTTTTTCTTTTTTTTTTTTATACTTTTCAAAATCCGCCCCTGATTTTGAAATATTAAGGGGGAACCGGCCGGCTCGCCCACCACCCCCTTGAATCTGTCTCTGATTAATACTACTACTAACACCATTGTGATTGTGATGACGATGATGATGATAATAAAATAGAAATAATGTAATAATAATATTTTTGCAATATTATTTCTAATTTTGATTTTAGCGCACAATACGAAATTATCATATTCACTTCAAGTGACAACCTGTATTTCGGGACTATAGTTTTTTTTTTTATCAACTTGTGGCTCATTTATGATTGACTATGAGCAATTTACGTAGCTATAGTAAAGAGGTAAGCGTTGATCATCGAATACCAAATGAAGTGGAATAATGTCGGTAAACCACAATTGGTCAATTCTTGATCAAACCAAGAATGAAAATACTACCAGTGGCTCTCACATGCTAAAATAAATAGGTCTATACAAATAAAAATCAATAGTACAGCCAGTAGGCCTATATGATCACGGGGCCTCATTAACTTAAGAATATTTTCAAAATATTTCAAAATAATATCACAAACTTGTCATCTAAAATTGGAAATGTTTAACCCGTACATTTAGGTTCCAATTTAGTGGTTCATGGAGCATGGATGAGAGTGATCCTACAGGTAGTCGTTTCGAAAATAGAGACCATCTTTAAAAGTGATCTCCAATATTAGCACAATTAACAGGTACTCAAACCTAATAACACTTAAACGAAAACCACAATTACAAAAAGTTGAATACTTAGATAAATTAAATATACGTTTATGTCATTTGATTCCTGGTTTTAAATGGCGGAATCACTTTAAATAATTATGCATATCCTATTTCAGGCCACCATACATACAAACACTAATGAGTGTTTACACAGACCATAGAGATATAAAATAATCATGACTCCATGACTAGATTAACTTATATAAACTGATGATTTAAGTTAATTATAAGAAAAAATAAGTTTACATAAATTATAAACCAAAAATTCAAAATAATGAAAAACATTGTCCTCTCACTGACAAACACTAATGTTAGATACATTAGGTTATTGTATTATTGTATTGCTGAAAGATATAGCTTTATTAAAATATTTAAAAATAAACAATAATGTATTAACAAGCCTGTCTGAACTGATCAAGTTTTGATAATTAAATGATTGCGACCTAATAGCCTAGAACGTATCCACTTCAAGTATCCGTGGCACACATCAAGTTCACTAAATGAGTTATATTCATTACATTATTTTAGGCCTACTATTAGCATCATAGGCCAGATTTAGTGCAAGTTATATTAAATATTATATATATGTCACTCCTTTTCCTGATGTGCAATCTGTTAAGTATCTGTGATGTACGACCATTAATCTACGTTCTTATTTTGTCGATAATTATTATTCTGAATTAACAGATTGCACATCAGGAAAAGGAGTGACTTAATTGCGTCCGCTACAATACGAACTAAAACGATAATGTCTAAATGTAAAGATGTACTGGTAGGTCCTTAAACACAAAAGACAATCGAAATTAATTAAAAGATAGAGTATTAGGTCAAGAGATGTGCACTGCATGCCTCCACACCTTCCTATTATTTTATTTTTGTATACTTTTATTGTTAAATCATTTTTAGTTGTTGTCAAGAGCATAGAGGCAGTCCTTGCAATGTGCGCTATATAATTAGCAATTTATTATTATTATTGGTGTGCCATACTATAAAAATACGTGCAATGTGGGCCCATTTATATAATTAAAATTTAAACGGATACCAGTGCATTATTAGCATTGTTAAAAATATCTGACAAAGATTAAAATGCCAACAGTTTTTTTAATGTAGTTTAGATTATTTGAATGCTTAGACATTTATAGTAGTGTTGGCCCATAGATAATTATGAAATGTCCACAATATATGAACAACAATTATGTATAGGTCTTGTCTAATATAACAATAATAAATCAAACCAATATATATGTCAACATTTTAGAAAATATTAGCATATTACTATATATATATAATATATATACATATATATATATATCGAGTAACACTGTATTTACCTTTCTTTGATGATTTATATAACACTGTATTTACATTTCTTTGATATTTATATAATATTTTTAAAATATAGGCCTAATTATTATTTATTAATTTCATTGCATTTTCATGTACCATACTTGCAATCAATTGAAAAGGACTTCATTGTGTCCGAAGAGTAATGTTAGGCCATAAAAATTAGGACTATAAATTCAAAATGTCGAAATTGTACACATTTTTATATATCTTTTAATAAATTAGGCAAAATGTTTAACTTGCCATGGATTTGTCTGTAGGCTACATTTAGAGAAATTTAATAAACTTTACTGAGATACGATTCGATGTTAGCCCTGTTGCATTTTCCACCTAGAGCCAGTTACCGTGTTAACGCTGCAGTGCAGATAATTGCATCAATTGTTTGATAGATTATTATTTATACTTCAAAATTCTATTAATGGTTAAAGCAACAACAAATATTTGCTCCACGCTCACACAGCTGGTTACTATGTGCAGGAATTATTGGCGATTATTTAGAGACACTTTTCGGCCTGGTACCACGTGTATAGGCCTACTACATATCCTACAATATAGAGTACCGTATAGTTCTGAACTTTTTTGCTTTCTCGGACCCCGCGGAGACGTTAGACGTCTTCACGGACAACCAAGTCAAAATTTACTCATTGTAAATTGATGTTCCACCAATAGGATAAGAATATAGATAGGGCTCAGTACTTCGCCAGAAAACTACATCAAAGGTATTTAATTACTGAAGGCTTCTAATGATTGGCAGTAATATGTTTATCACAGTGTTGTATGACAAGAAAAATAATGAAATCATGAAATATTGGTCTAAAAGTCTAGCCGACCCCAACATTTCCCATACCCCTGCGTACCTTTTTGACTTGGTGGACCCCAATTATTTTTCCGCGTACCCCAGGTTGGGAACCACTGATACAGACAATCTATCATTATAATTTAGGCCTACAACGAAAAGATCAATTAGGCCTATCAAAAATTTTAAAAAATAAATCAAAACATACCAAATTCCTGATTGGACTCTAGGATAGGCGACTCTTCTGTTTTTGGCTTGTCGGTATCCTTTGCAGACATTATCCAGTAAACTAGTATTTTACAGCAAATTTAAAATGTTCCTACTGTAGGCTTAGGCCTATATATTGCTCTGAGCTTAAAGCGTAAATCTCTCTGTAAATTTGGTTTTAATATTTGCAAGACTACTGCATATCGTCCTTGAGATAACAGATGTTCTTTCTTGTATACATGGGACTGGTGTTGAATATTAATACAGTATTTCGTTACGATTACCAGTGGCTGGCCACGCATGAGTAAGATTTCAGTAGGAGCGTGTGGCGCAACGTGTAAGTTGTTTGATTTCTGGTCGTGAGATCGGGAGTTCGAGACTGACGCTCGCCACACTGCGTGTGTCCTTGTGCAAGACACTTTACTGTACTAACGTTTGCCTCTCCTCACCCAGGATTATAGATGGGTGTGGGTCATGCTGTTAACCTGCTCGTTGGTGACCCTGCTACGACTTTCCGGTCAAATTAATAACAGCAACTAGATATCAATTGATATCATACGGGGAAAAAAAGCAACATGAACTACGGTATCCTTATGTTTTTCTTATTACGTTATACGTTTTTTTCTCCCATTCATACCTATACTTTTAAATGATATAATTACATATATCATTATTCATCATCGTCAATATAACCCTCATCATTACTATTTTAAGCGTATTATTATTATTATTATTATTATTATTATTATTATTATTATTATTATTATTATTATTATTATCAATATTTGAAGATTAATATTATTACCCAGTCGAAGTATTGAATAAAAGGTACAACAGAAAACTAATCACTCGACAATTTGAGTCTGCTACAATTAGTTTTTTTTACAATACTTTTTAGGCCTAGTTTACGTTTTATTGATAAAACAACCACATGACGTTTATTGTTTGTTAAAATTATTTTTGGAAAGTAGCGTATTGGTAACTCCCTTGGTAAATTCTGTATTTTCATAATTACTGGATCACAGTGCCGTAACACCTCAGTGCGCTCTCGTGCGGCGGTCCGCAGGGCCCCTTGCCCTTTAGGGGCCTCGGGGCCTCACCCTTAGGTTCATAGCTCTAGCACCCTGATGCAAAAGAGCTTTGTTGATACATAACAGCATTGTCTCTGACATCGACTGTATGACATAATATCATATATCCAGTGACGGATGAAGGTGAGTGCCATTTAAGGTGCCATAATCATAAAATTTCTAAGCTCAACCTCAACCATGGTGGGGTGAAGTCTATTCACAGCTTCCGTAACAAACAAAAGCAAAATTACAAAAGCTCCCTCTTCTGTAAACAATAAACTATGTCTCTTCAAATGTAAATTCCCTTGCACTTGTGAATGGGACCCGCTTATGTAAGAATCGACCCTCCGCGATTTCCACAAATCAACAATGTCATCGCATTAGCAACCAAACAATCAAAAGAAGACAGTAGTACGGATTAAGGGAATTACACAAAGCGGAAATCAATGTCAAACGTATGGGCATAATTTGGCTCACCAGCATTTTAATAAGAAGCAAGTAGGTGCTTATTATGCAGGAGAAATTGCAAGGAAATTACTCAACATCACGAGAAGTTTAGTTTAGAATGAGACAAGATAAAGTTTACAGAAGAACACAATAAATGATTACAATACACGTTTAAATAATTATATGGAATACTGTACTTTGTACCTAACCAAGGCCTACATTGGATATATTGCGGAAATATTTTCGTCTATGATATTCAATATGTCTAATTCCATACATTATTGCTTCATAATCAACGAAAACGTGGCGGCAGCTTAATCGAAAGCTAGAGCTTGTAACCAGACAGAGATTCGTATTTCATTCTGATCAAAAAACAAACGTTCCATTTTTTTAGCCAATAAAGAGTGTGAGATGGGATCGTCTGCATCAAAGAAAAGACGTAGTTCAATGGTGGCTGTCAGGTAATACCTTCAACTTTATCTTGCGTAGGTCTTCCGTTTTATATATATAGATACCTACAATAGTTCATTCAATTTCATTTAATTCATTCAATTACTTTTATTTTTTTCATAAAAGTTTAATCTTTAGAATGTTCTTACCTTATAACACTCAGTGTTGCTGTTTATGGTGCACTGTATGTCCTTTGCAATTTTTAAATTTTGTCGTTTTTAAATGTTAATGTTTTTAAATTTTTAAAAGCTGTACAACCAACATTTTGTTGTATTTTTTTATATGAGGACAAATACAAATGATTATATTTTCTTGTAACTTGTGTCTATTAATGTAGGTCTTAGTTTAAAGAGTAGGTTTTTTTAGTTTCATAAAATAACTTCGACTTTCTTTTTTCTCAAAATGTCCAAATCAAAGATCTCAATCACCAAGCGCATAGAGGCTTTTTCGCATGATGCGCTCTACAAATCCAACTATTATTATTATTATTATTATTATTATTGTGCTATCATCATCACAGACTATGCATTGTATAATAAAATTACGATACAAAAGAATATTTCCATAAATAAAATAGAAGAGATAGGGCCTATATAAGCCATTAGGTCTATCTAATATTCGTGTAAGTACATAAACATATTCAAAACGTGTATGTACCTTATTGATTATATCTCTGCTAGTTAGGCAATTGAATGAACCCCATAGTCTAAATGGACTCAGGATTGATTTTCTGCTTTATAAAATTTGACCCGCTATTGTGATACATACCCTATATACTGCTTACCTCTATTCATAAAATGTTAGTATTATAAATAATTTAATCCTTAATTAAGCGAACAATAATAATTAAAACATTTTTTCCTAAATATTGCACATAGGGGCCTATTTACCATGGTACGGTAATGTGTAATGTTTTAGACAAGCGAACATAGTATATCAGTTTTCCTAAACAATATGTACATTGCATTATGGGCTTGAAGCTACCGCCTTTTTATTTATGTATTTAGATACTGAATTTAAACGATTACAGTCTTATAAACTCGTCGTTTTTCTTTGTGTATTTCTTCGACAGTGCCGTGAACGCATTCAACCAAGCCGGAAAGAGACACAACGAAAAAAATGACGCAAATGAATGTAATCAAGGTAATGTATGGATGAGTCTTACTACTATGCATATGTATCCTTTCTGTACTAGGCCTATAGTACAGTATGTAGGACAAAGGGTCAGTCTGTCAACGCGTAGGCCACACGTTTGTCAAGATGCTCGTAAAAACACTTTAGGTGTTTAGTTTGTTGAGTATTGGAACCTAATTATGCTAAGACACGAGTTACTGTAGTCTTCGATTTATATATTAGACGCTACACATTATAAGAACAAAAAAAACTATAATGATTTGCATAATCGCGGAATCACACGTTTTTGATTTTCAGAGAAATTGCTGAGTCATACGGACAAAACTTTTAATTTTTTTATGGAGTGTCGAAGTTTTTTTCATTTAGTACTTCAAATTCAACCAATAATATCTTCACGTTAGCAACTCATTGCTTTGTTTGATTTCAGTTTTTGAATATATATATATAT